CCAGCCACTCCTTGGAAACCCTACAGGGCAGTTCTACTCTGTCCTATAGGGTCCTATGGTTGGAATTGACTTGACGGCAACAGCTTTTAGATTGGTGGCCATATTAAAAAAAAATGTGCACATTGTGCTGACATCTGCCAGCCACATGTTCTGGAAGGCCCTGTGGAAGCTGAAGGTCCTGGGTGTGTGTTCGTTTGGGTGGGTACGTGTTCATTTTCAGCCTCCCTCGTTTTTTCCTGCAGGGTCTCCTGCGCTGAGTCAGCTGATAAACTTCTCGTTTACTGGCTGTGCTTTGACTCCATGAAGTTTGGTGTCTTCCCGGCTCGCCGCCTCTCCACGGCCTCCTCAGTCACCAAGCCACCGTACTTCATTCTCACCACCGAATGGGTGTGGTACTGGACTGACCAGACCGGTACTTGGCAGGAATATGGAAAACAAGTAAGTGGATGGACTGAGAGCGAGTGTTTCCTCCTGAGGCGTCCTGGTGAAGGGCCTTTCCAGGCTCAGCTCGAGGATCGTGATGGGAGTCCTTGGTAGACCCTCAGATGCCACATCCCAGTTAGAGCTTTCTGAATTTGGGGGAATTACAGAAAAGTGCAGTAATTTGTAGTTTATTTGTATGAAGTTTGATCATTGAGTGACTAGATATCAGTCAGCTCCTGAGAACTGAATGCCTGAAAATCCTGGTGAGGCTGTGCTTCTTCACTGGTTTGTGATACAGGGGGTAGAAAGATGCTTCTCTTCTTGGTGGACAGGTGACTCCAAAGGGGGTACCTGTGGGTACAGATGGGTTTGAGTAGCTGCGGCATGAGATTTAGAGCTTTCTCAGGCTGGCTTCAGGCCATGTCTGGAACAGCAGCTTTACAGAAGGTGGCCGAGTATGAGAAAGTTGATGTGTGTCAGATACTGATTGGGGAGGGTCCCTGGCTGGTGCAGGTGGTCTGCACTTGACCACACATCATAAGGTTGGCGGTTCAAAGCTACCCAGTGGTGCTGCGGAAAAAAGGTGTGGCTGTCTTCTTCCATAAGATCACAGCCATTGAAAGCCCTACGGGACGTGCAGTTCTCTGAAACACGTGGCGTTGCCATGAGTCGGAATTGACTCCATGGCAACGGATTTGGTTTTTTGTTTTGGATGAATTTGGATTCTGGATTGAGTAACTGCTGCCGTCAGTTATTTGAGATGTCGATGGTCGGGTTAGATTGAAAGGAGTTCCCTGGTTCCTTGTAGAGGCACAAGTATTGGGAGGTCAGCACTTATATAGGGACATACTTTCCAAAATGAAGATCGAGACGTGTGGTCCGAGAGATACTCATGCTCTTCTGGGTTGTGAGAAGCTTTGCTGTCTTGCTCCTAACTGCACTTAGAATGCCTTTTTCTCTGGTGACACTATAACATAAACTCCAGGAGGGCAGGTACTTTTGTCTCTTTTGTCACCGACATGTCCCCTGTGCCCAGAATGGCGCCTGACGCAGTAGGTGTGCAGGAGATGCAATGGACCGATGGAATGAGGAAGGCAGCCCCCACCCACCGTCTGCTTCCACCTTCCAGAACCGT